TTTCTTTTAACGATAAGTCAAAATATCTTACAAAAGTAAATACTTACACTTATATATATATATATATCTTAAATTAAAGTTTATATAATATACTTTATTATGGAAAAAAAAAATTGTCGAACTCCATTTTGTCTTCATGGTGAAAATGGCTACCGTATACTATTTTTGTGTTAAAATTTTCAATTTTGTATTTTATTTTATTTTAAAATACCTTACAAAGGTTTTTGATAGGTTTTTTTAGTTAAAGTAAATCATTAAAATTAATTATGTTCTGAATATTTCAATTGTAGAATACTTTTATTCGCCAAAAATTACTTAGAAATTACAAGATAAAAATTGTAATTCTTATCTAAATAATAAACTATTATCTAGTAAAAATTGTCATGCTGTCACATATGGGCAATATTATCTGTTAAACAATAAACTCAATTATTTAAAACTTCCATGTAAATAATAAAATATACACAGGGTGGCCCACCACTCACTGACAACTTAAAAAACTTTTGATCCAGTTAATATTTTTAGCTGATTTTTTTTTTAAATAATAGTTATACGTTAGGTCTATAGCTATATCTCAATAATTAATTTTTTTACATTTTATTAAAAATATTAATTATTTTTAAATTTTAAATAAAATGTAAAAAAAAAATCTAAGATAGCTATTTTGTAGAGTAGAATTTAAGAAAAATTTTAGTAAAAAAATATCTTATTAATATTCAGTAGTAAATATTCTGTAGCGTTTTGAAGTTTGTGAAAATTTGAATTTTCATGTACTATTTTACGGTATTAAACATTGAAATACGTATTGAGAAAAGGACAGAAGAAAACGCTATCTTTTCATGATTACTGTGTATACATATGATGATAGTGTGTATACATTACAAACTTGGCATAAATACCATGATAAGAAATTAGATAAGGCAATTATTACTTATCACTCTCATTCAAAAGTATATTGAAAAGATAGCGTTTTCTTCTGTCCTTTTCTCAATACGTATTTCAATGTTTAATACCGTAAAATAGTACATGAAAATTCAAATTTTCACAAACTTCAAAACGCTACAGAATATTTACTACTGAATATTAATAAGATATTTTTTTACTAAAATTTTTCTTAAATTCTACTCTACAAAATAGCTATCTTAGATTTTTTTTTTACATTTTATTTAAAATTTAAAAATAATTAATATTTTTAATAAAATGTAAAAAAATTAATTATTGAGATATAGCTATAGACCTAACGTATAACTATTATTTAAAAAAAAAATCAGCTAAAAATATTAACTGGATCAAAAGTCATTTAAGTTGTCAGTGAGTGGTGGGCCACCCTGTATAGACAATAATATAAATTGTCACAGATATGTCAATATTATAATGAAATAATCAATCATTGTCCAGAATAGTATATTAGTTTTTAAGATAACATGTAATAAATAATTTATTTAAGAGACAACAATAGCGTTTCTGACACTTCTTGCATATATATTGGAAGTATACTCTCAACATGCTCTGAGTTCTGGCAGTATACTTCCATGGCTCATTCTTCTTTGATCTATGCATACTCTCAGTTCTATCAATATTCATGCAGTTCATTGATCTCAATTGTTTAATTCACGTTTAAGAAGTGATCAGACACGTTTAAGTTAATTTAAAGTAAATAAGACGACTTCATAAATTCTCTAGACATTCTCTAGAGACAGCAAGGTAAAAAGTTCTGTGTCAAGCCCTTTAATTATTAAACGCATTTGTCATAAAATTAATAACAACTTAATAATTTGTTATAAATTCTCCGAAAAAATTACAATAATAAATTATAAAATATCAATCTCATACTATATTTAATTGCTAAATTAAATATTTATTAATATATTATGCTTCTAAATAAATTACTAATCAGAACTAATAACGGAAATAGGAATTCATTTTGCTTTTGGAATAGTCTATTAATTTCTTAAAATTAAATTCTATCTACAAATTTGCATTGAAGCGTTTCTTATGATAATGATTTCAATCACTGTCACATATCATTTATACTTGTTCTTACTATATCACGTCCACACTGTGTCGCAACGCCCTTATGATGCCGTTTTTTTCTATGATTATTCTCTATTGCTACTGCATTAAAAAAATTTTTTTATATTTATTTATCCACATTCAAATCATAAACTTACGTAAATCAAATATTACATATTTCTTTAGAAATAGATTTAAGTGTAATCTAAAAAAACACGTGTTCATTTAAATTATTTTCAAAAAATTTAGCTAATATATTTAAAAATATTTCCATATAAAGTTTGCAAACATTTTTTTTTTAAATCTAATTCTTGTCCAGCTATCTTTTAAGTTCTGTAACACACGTATTTTAACATTCAATGCTAAAAATTATCCACTAATTTTAAATGACTTGAGTTATTATCAAGTAAATATTGCATATACCGTTGTGAATCTTGTGTATTATTGGTGGAGTACTTTGATTTTTATAAATATTATATAAATTTAATTGATATAGATTAGATAATTAAACTTATTTAATTTTTTGCTTCTTTTAAGTCCAGAGAAAAAACATTGTAATTTGAACTAGCTTTTCTTGGGGTGTATGCAATTTTTGTATAGTTAGAAATTTCAAGTTTGCAGATCATAATAGAGTACATTTTCAGTTATTGTATTTAATCAGAATATTTGAACAGCCGTAAGTATAATTGACGTAAGCACATTGTTTTTATGAAAAAAATTTTAATATAATTAAATTATTGTCATTAAATTGTAAAAAAACGTCTAATTTTAAGCTGTGAAAACTGTATATAATTATAGCATAGATGATGATTGTCAAATAATATTTTATAATTTATGACAAATTAGTGCAAAATCTATTCTTTCTGTCATCCCAAAACACCTAAGATTTAATTTATATTTTATAAAATTGTTAAATTCGTTGTTAAAATTTTTATTTATGCGATTCATTGATGTAAAACACAAAAATCGCCTACAGATATATTATAGTTGAAAAATAATACAGGGATATCATTAAAGACTAAATATTTATAATTTAAAAGTGTTATTTGTACGTATTATCCCTATAATAACGTAAAGTAAATAATTAAAAATAATTTTTATTTTTAAATGAGATAAGTATTTTGAAGTTTGACTTCTAGATAGTTATCTTTTTTTACTCCCTTTAAAACATGAGACAATATCTGTTAATACTAGGGGCTAGAAATGATATCGCGCTTACCCGGTGATTAATAAGAAAGGATTTTAGGACATCTATATTTGATTTTAAAGAAGATTGTGTTCGTTGGTTCACATAAAATTACTTATATTTCCATACAAATAACAATAATTTAAATTGTATTAAGTATTTATAATTTACAATAGCACCTTGTGCAATTTAGTAATAACAGTTGATAAATATAACAATAAATATAAATCAGTATTACTAAATATGAATTTGATTATCAACACATAGCTATAACTAAAAAAGAGGTTCAATATAAATAATAGTGTTGAATATATAATTAATATTCACTAAAACTATTTGTATGATTTATGAATTAAAATTGGCTATTGTCATCCGTGGGACTTACACAATTTTCCTAATCCAACCGTGTGGAATATAACAACAAAATTATTACTTCAGATAATCCAACAACGTCATCTGTGTGACTCAAATAATTTCAGCTAATATCAATTACCAAAATACACTAATCATATAATACAATATTACTTATTCTAAAGTGGCTAGCTACATAAACAAACTTGAACAAAATTTACTTTAGCATAAAACTTGAATATAATTTTTACTAACTCGTATGAACAACAAAACTTTACCTAATTTCTTATTAATATATTTACACACCTATGTCGACCGGGAGTGATAACCGGCCGACGCCGCCCAATGATAATGAGAGGAAGGGAAGGTGAGAACCATGTAAACGCGCTATCTAGGATTTTCATGCGTCGCGAACAATACCAATATTTGTTGTTTAGGAAAAAATGTATTCGTTTTTTTTAAAGATTTTTTATCATATCATATGTTACCACAGTAGGTAACGTCAATAATTTATCTAAATAATTTGATTCCTCTGCAGTGATACTAGAGTTGATTGTTCCCCTAACGGCGTATATATTCGAAAGAACCAAATTTTCCAGCACGAAAGGGTCAAAGTTAGCAATAGGAACTATTTGGTAAAAGAGAAAAATTTACAACCACTGTAATGGCAAGTTGGGCGTGTGATGAAATTATACTGAGACGATGACAATGTGGCAAAATTAAAAAAAATCTGAACCAACGCCGGTGAGTTTTCACGGGCTGTAAGGTTATTATGTTCGTTACCTTTTGAAGGCAACAGTCTGTAGCTTGTTTATTAATTTATTTAAATTTATTAGACTTTATATTTAATATGTTATGCGTATAGTTGTTATCCCATGTGAGATAAATTATTAATTTTTGCGATAATGTTTTTGTGTATAATGTTTACTTGTATACTAATGATCGTAATTTACATGGATTTATTTATTATGATTTTCGTATTGATTTGTTATAAAATTTGTTCCTATTTTATATGTTTATTTATCTCGTTATTTTGAAACTAATATTTCTAGTCGGTCGGTGTGTTCAGGTCTAACAAACTGTTCAGTTATTAATGAAACAGGTCAATTGTTACAAACATTGAGAACAATAGAAACCCGTTTCCTTATTTACTGAACACTATATATTAGTGTGTCATTTTATCTTTATCGTTGACCATACAATTGTCCGGTTTTTTATATTATTGAGAGCAGTATATCTTTTTACCACCCATCGCTCCCATATTTAAAATAAATGCTTATCAATTTTCGTACTTAACAACTTATTTTAAATTTATTTAATATCTTTTAATAATAAAAGATCACGCAGAACAGTTATTATTAAAAGTTAATTTATTACAATATAACACACGATTATTTAATCTACATGAACAAAAAAAAATTTGAAAAATATGTTTATTCAATAAAATTGGAACGAGTGTTAGTTTTTGCTTAAAAGACCAAATCATAGAGATTCAATTTTATTATTAAAATTAATTCAATATCAATTACCAAAAAGTTGTCATTAAATATGGGTTTACATTTTGTGAAGTTAAGTTCTTTTTGTTTCATATTGCTTACATTTGTAAGTGTTATGAATGCAAACAATTCTACTCGTCAAAAATTGAAAGGTAGGTAAATCTTCAAAGTTAATTTAATAATATGTTCTTTGATATTTTTTCTCTTCTTATATATTTATGTTTTATTTTAACATGTTTAAACATATTTTAGTATATAGTTTGTTCAGTGAGAAAGGACATGGGTTTCTATTAGTGATGGGCATTTTCGAATATTTTAAACTGTCGAATAACTATTTGAATTGTTTTTATACAATTGAATAATGTTTTTTAGCATAAACTATCGAATAGTTTAAAAAAATATTCGATATGGGGTGAATCGCAGGTATATATTAGGGTGGCTCTTATTTTATTAACTTTCATTGATCGATCTCCATACCCGCCAATTTTGTTTTCTATTATATGAAAGTTATTTGTGTAAAATTTGGTTTTGATAACTTCCCCCTTCAGGTCCGAATTGGGGTTGAAAATTCGCTCAAAAAGGTAATTTTTCAGTTTTTGATTATTATTTTTAAAACTAACACACTTATTGAACAATGTATAGAATATAAACTATAGATTTTAATATTTTCTTCTTAAAATGGTATTTACAAAATTTGTCTAAAATTATTTTTACTTGCTCATAGAAATAAAATAAAAAAATAATTTGCTAAAATTCACTTTTTGAATATGAATCATTCTTAATTTTCGAAATAATCATTTTACAACAAAATGTTTCGTAAAATAAAATATGTTAAGTAAAATTATCTAAAATATTGGTCTTCTGTAAAACTATAATTAGATATATTGTTTTGCTGTTTTAATATCACTAACGATCTAAATAGGATTGTTTAAAACAGTTTATTCAGGGTACTATGATTATAAAGAGGATACAATTAATAATAAAAAAACCCAGCACCGGAGGGGGGTGGGGTCGCGGCACCGTGATGACGTGCCATAGTTGGATCAAGTATAATGATATCTGACAGTGATTAAAATCACTATAAAAAAAAACTCTTCGATACAAATCTTTAGATAGTGTTTAATTTTAAAAAATTGGTGGATTATTCCAAAAGCTACATGATCTGCTAGTTCATTAGTAATATCTTGATTATATAAAGTATGTCGAATGAAAAAGGGATTATTAAAAAATATTATTTCTCATAAAAAAATAATGTTGATCCATACATTTTTTAATAAGTTATAGCATTATAAAGTTAAAAATGTAAAAAAAATCAAGAATTTTCACACAAAAATAGCATTCGGTAGCCATTTTCACCGTGAAGACTAGTCTAGAAGTTAAATTTTTTTTTTTTCATAATAAAGTATATTACATTAGCTTTAATTTAAGATATATATAAAAGTGTCAGTATTTCCGGAACATTTTCAAAAGTCAAGTTGAAAAAATTAATTTTTTGTGAAAAAGTTGTAATTTTAAATCCCTCCCTTTGGACAGCTAAAGGGTCAGATATAAAAAAAAATACACCAAATGAAAGGTAATGATATCATGCATCTATATAAAAAAAATTATATTGATCCATACATCTTTCAAAAAGTTATAGCATAATAAAGTTAAAAATGTAAAATACAAAATCGAAAATTTTCACACAAAAATAGTATTCGTTGCCATTTTCACCGTGAAGATAAAATAAAGTCCGAAATTTTTTTTTTTGCATAATAAAGAACATTACATTAGCTTTAATTTAAAATATATATAAAAGTGTCAGTATTTCCGGAACACTTTCAAAAGTTATGTTGAAAAAGTTAATTTTTTGTAAAAAAGTTGTCATTTTAAATCCTTCTCTGTGGGCAGGTAAAGAGTTAAGTTTATAAAAATAATATACCAAATAATAGGTAAAGACATCAAGCATCTATAAAAAAAAAAGTTATTTTGATTTATATTGATATGTTCATTTTTGAAAAAGTTATAGCAGTTTTTAGTAAAAAAAATTGAAAAAATTTCGAAAATTAGCGATTTTTAAATTTGTAATTTTTTTGGAAATTTCCCCCATTTACGGGGAACGAGGGAATTTTTTTCAATTTTTGAGGGTAATGTCTTCGACTAGATACAATTTGTGATCTTTTGACGTATCGTTGAAAGAAATCGGTTCGGTGAGAACTGAGAAAAAGTGGTAACAGACACAAAAAAAAAAAAAATAAAAATAAACACATCTTAGTAAAACCAATACCTTCTCAGCTTCGCATCGAAGCTAAAAAATTGGTGATGGGCTTTTTTAAATATTTTAAACTCGTGATTAACTATTCGAATTGTGCTTATACCATCGAATATTTTTACTATTCAAATAATTTTTGAATGACTATCGAATAGTTCTATAGTTATTATTCGATATTTCCCATCACTAGTATCTATCGTTCTCATTGTATATATCAATTAACTTGTTTCTTTACTTACTGAACATTTTGTGTATTCTTGAATATGTTTAATAAAAGTGATGTACCACCGACTCAAATACACCTATTGGTCGGGGCACCCAGTATTTTCGCCGAAGTGGACACGACTTGATTTTATTTAACAATATACATAAATTAATCTATCATTTTTACACAACTATATTTAAAATGAATATTCTGACCCGAGGCCTAAATTAAGCAACGCATCTATTAGGGCAGGGATGGCGAACCTTTTTGTACTAGCGTGTCAAAAAAAAATGTTGGTTGAATTTTGTTTTCCCTGCGTGTCAACTAGTTTTATAACCCTTTTTCATACTTAAAAATTCCTATATCCATGGTTTGAATGATAAAAAACATGTCAAATATTACATTATCAAACAGTTTAATTATATTAGATACGAAAAGTATATATCACATNTTTAATTATATTAGATACGAAAAGTATATGTATCACGTCAGTATGTAAAAAAAATTTATTTATAAAAAATTAAAAAATATTGAAATGTTAAAATATAAAATTTTTATACATGAATTTTTAATGAGAAATTTGTTGCTGCATTTTATTGGCTAATGAATCAATTCTTGGACTGTACTTGGTCGATTTTAATTAAACACATGCTTCACTTAAATCTGTTCCAAGACGATTCCTTACAGTTGATTTAATAAAATTCATTGAAGAAAAAAGCTGCTCACACGTATAAGTTAATCCAAACATTGTCAATAAAGAAAGAGCTAGTTTTTTCATAGATGCAAATGAATTTGGAAGACTTTTCCAATCATTAAGAATCAAATTTTCCGATTTAAAATTCCTACCAATTTCATGATGATTATTTTCTAGCTCATTATTCAAATTAATAAATTTATTTCTCCAAATATTACTTCCCTGAAATTCTATTAACTCCATTTCTAAATTTTCAATATTTAACCACTCAAAAAAACTAAGTTCAAGTTCTTCAAATTTAATATTATGTGGATTTAATAAAAACTGTAATGTTGAATCTAGATGACGAAATTGGGAAAATCTGCTTGAAAATAATTCGTATGCATTTTTTAATATTTTTACATATTTTGTTATTATTAATTTCATATCAAACTGATCATTTTTAAAATGTTTTGAATCTATTAATTGCTTTTTCAAATAAGGAAAATATTTCAAGTTTTCATTTTGTAGATCTTTACAAAAAACTTTAATTTTTTTTTCAAAAATTTTAATATTATCAAACATAGTTAAAACTGTTTGACCTCGGCCTTGGAGTTTTTTTATTTAAATCATTATAAATTGCAGTAAAATCTGTGAAAAACATCAAATCCTTCAACCAATTTAAATCAGTAAGCTCTGGATAATCTTGAGATTTGTCCGACAAAAATAAACGTACTTCTGCCAGTAATTCAACAAATCGATGAAGAACTTGCCCGCGACTCAACCATCGAACACTATTATACATAAGAAGGCCAGAGTATTGCGATTCCACCTCTTCTAATAATTTGGCAAACTGTCGATTGTTTAAAGCTCGAGATGTTATGAAATTGACAATTTTTGTAACAGTTTCCATTACTTTTTGAAGCGATTTCATACTATCTTTTGCACACAACGCTTCTTGATGTATAATACAGTGAAAGTTGATTAAAGGATGCAAAATTTCATTGGAAAAAAGTTTAATAAATCCATTGTTTTTACCAACCATATTTGGAGCGCCGTCAGTAGTTATTGAAACAATATTTTGAATATTGATTTTTAAATTTATAAACTCTTTATGTACTTCATCCATAATATCACGACCAGTTGTTTTAGTAGAAATTGTTATTAATTTTATTAATTCTTCTTTCATAATATTAACACTAATAAATAGAACAAAAACTGCTACACGAGCTTGGGAAGTTACATCTGTACTTTCATCAAGACAAATTGAAAAAAAGTCTGCTGAAGCTAAATCAGTTTGAAGCTGATTTGATATATCGCCACTCATACATAAAATTCGTTCTTTAACAGTATTTCTACTAATAGGTAAATCTTGAATACGTTTTATTATTTCATTTTTATTCACAAAATCATGAAATAAAGTATTTGATGTCATTAAAAAAACTTCTTTTATGTATTCTCCATCGGAAACTGGTTTACCATGCTGTACAATACAGTGGGATACAGAAAAACTAGCAGCTGTTAAATTATTATTTGGTTTAAAAGCAGCTTTGAAATTATTTGATTGATTTTTAAAACGTTTCAATTTTTGCGAAATTAATTCCAACTTTTCTTCAGTTGATAAAGAAAATATGTCTGTATGAATTGTTTCAAAATGTCTTTTTACATTAAAACTGCGACTAACTACTGTTTCATTACATAAACAACATAACACTTTATTATTTTTTTGAACTACCCCATAATCTACGGTCCATTGTTTGTGAAATGATCTTCCACTTTTACTTTTTGACATCATTTATTAAAAAATATAACCTTTAAATTATTATAAAAATAACACTCACCAATAATGAAAACTGCCAAAACGATTCATTTAGACAAGTCAAAGGCAACGATAAAATTTAACACATGAAACACATTCGATTCGACGAATGAGTAATGACTAACGCTAGCCGTGGATCAGTTTTACACGTTATATCCGTTATATAAATATATACCTAATAATGTTCTTATCGAATAAGATTTTCTTATCGAAAAGTAATAAAATTAATAGTTTGAGCAGTGTAGATATTCAATTCAATGCGTGTAATACCATAAATTTAATATTTCATTTTTGTAATCTCAATTTATTTTAGTCTACATCCTACGACCAGTGGTTTTTGATGACAAACTTTTACATAGATCCGTGTGTCACTCTGTGACACGCGTGTCATAGGTTCGCCATCTCTGCATTAGGGCATCGTATTCGGTGACGAATTCAAACCAAAGCGCATCCATATCGCCCGCTGCCGCGATAAAATTTTCTTTAAGTGCCGGCTCAGTAATTACCCGACGTGATAAATCGTACGTAGCTTTAATGTGTGACACTACGGTTGATCGCCTAAGTAATGCGCGATCTTTAGCGAGTCTAAAAAGCGGCGTCGTCAGCCATAATAAACAATTAAGAGAAACAAAATTTTAATAATAAACTTTAAACAAATTAAGTAATAAAATTAATAAATATTCATATAAAACGCAAAACCCAACAATAACCAAAACAATCAGCAGTACAAATAATAATAAAAACAACAATACTAATGGTTACCCATAAAAATGACAATCAATGTGTAAAGTATTCGATCGATGTAGTAACAATAAGAAGTTTACTACGCGATGATCGTACACTGACTTCTTATCAAAGTTCAAACTCTAATACCTCGCGATCCCTATTATTCTCGTCTATTATTTGCGCAATCAAATAAGTCTTTTTACCCGAGCTGAAAGTTACGAAATTTAAAAAAACTAATAACGTAAAATTAAAAATACTTATGTCCACACCGAAAGATGGAAAAAACATACACATACTACATAGAAAAACATAAAAGATTTAAAACCCAGCAATTTTTTCCTTTTTTTTTTTTTTTACTTATTTTAAGGAATAATAATAAGAATAATTCTCATCTTACCGATTCACAACGAAAAACTGCTAAGGGCTTCTACAGGTCTCAAATACAAAAAACTACCATGCTCTGCAACCAAAAATGATATACCACCGACTCAAATACACCTATTGTTCGGGGCACTCAGTATTTTCGCCGAAGTGGACACGACTTGATTTTATTTAACAAGATACATAAATTAATCTATCATTTTTACACAACCATATTTAAAATGGTTTATATGCAACCTGGTTACTTCAGGTTCTTCGTAGACCAGGACCACACGTTTTTTGACACCATAAACTCGTGGATGGGCGTCCAAATCCACCTTTGGTATTGAAATGGACGATCTCTGAGTTGTGGGCTCTCCAATTGAGACACACACCGTCCGTCACAGGATCGTCCCAGCATAGGTGCCAAACACAGACACGCCGTACACCACGACGCGCAACAATTTCGATGGCGTTAACCGGTTGTATACAAGTGGCGCTACAAATGATCGGCGGCCAAACAAAAAGTATTAAAGCAGTGTTATTATTATTGTAATTATATTTAAAGATGTTTTTTACTGTAACCTATAAATGGGTTAAATATACGTAAAATTCAATGAAACAGTATATTATACTTAAAACTTTAAAAAAAAAACAATACAGAGAATTTTTAGTTCTGTAAACATAATTTAAATTACTTTGAAACTGTTATTTTGTCGTAATAAATATATAATATACGAATTTTATATACTAAAAGACTTTCAAAATATTATTATTGATGTGAATTAATTTATAATTATAAAAAAAAAGTATAGTTTTCTAATGTATTAAAAATAAATAATCATCATTTTAAAAATAATATCAATACAACATTTATTTTAATTTTTATACATTTAATAAATATTATATATATATTATATTACCTTTTAGTAGCCTAATTAGGATATTGTTTTGAAAGGATAAAAAATGATTAAAATATTAATAATTTTTACACTTGTTAAATTTATATAAAACTTTTTATTTCTTAACTTTTATAAAAAATAATGAGTGAATTTAAGGTTCTGTAATATAATTTATTTATGTCAATTTGTATCAAACAATGGTTGCAGTTTTAAGAGATTGTAAAAATTATTTTTTAAGAATAAAGTTTACGTCTTTTGTAAGATCGTTCATGTAAAAATGCAGGAAGTAGATAATTCGTTTTGTTTTATTTGATTTATAGATTATATCTCTACGACTACTCATCCTTACAGAATATATGATCATTCGAGACATGTTATGACGCGCCAAAAAAATTACTTCGTCATATTAAGTGTTCGCGCCGCATGCCAATCGTAGATAGCGCGCGCTTATTGTTTTCGTCTACTCATCTACCCTTCCTCACCAGGTTGTTTGGCGGCATTGGTCGGTTATCAATGCCGGCTGATAACTATATAGAGTGATTTTTTTATCATAACCCACTCAATTACATGCAGAATAATAATAATTTAAACATTTTTTTTTTTCATTATCTTTAGTTACACATTATTCTTGAATTTTTTACTATTTAATACTTTTTAAGTTCATCCCTTATGCCTTGGAAGGGTGTCAACTTTTGTTAGATACACATTAATGTGAGGTGATGCAATACATTTAATTTAATATGAAAACACGATAAGTGAGGGAGAGCAGGTCAGTCGATCACATCATACACGTTCGTGTTTGTCACAATGGGTATGCCCGCTGACACAACGCAATTTGTTTTTATCTTTTTTTGTTCTGTAGCCGTCTAGTATTCCGGAGATTCCGCGTTTTTTATATAATATACGCCGCGACCTTCAATGTTTTTTCCCACTAAAAAACCACCACCTTCGTAACGGTACGGCGGCACTGCTGTTTAGACCGGTCCCTAATTTTTTAATTTGTGCTAATTTTCATTTTATCATTGGTTCTTGTTGTTTGTTATTATTTTTCTATCATAACGGAAATATCAGATTGTGATTATATATATATATGTTGTTTTTCTTTCTATCTATAGTATATTGTAAGGCTCAATTTCCACAATTTTATATTCTCCTTTCCTGCCGCTAAGGCATGCCCAAAAATACGTATGGTCAATCGTATTTATTAAACAAACAAAAAGGTTACAAAATCGCAAATTGCCGATACTAAAGAAAATATAGCCGGCATTGCACA